TGGAATTAATGAACATATTCAATAAAGAAATGAAGAAATAACTTGAAATGATAGATTTGAGGGAAACGTCATATTTCTTTGGAATATAAGCACACTAATGTGTAAATAAACGGTTTGATAATTAAAGAAAGTATGCAAGAGATGTTCTAAGGAAATTTAGAACGGAAAAGTACAAGCTAGTTTACAATCCTCTAGCTAAAAAAAAAAAACAAGCAAGGATGATGGAACAATAAAAACAAATACAAATGTTTATATAAGTTAGGTGGGTTATTTACTCTACTTGACAATAATTAGGCTAGACATCATGCCTGCAACTAGGTTACTATCAAGATTCATGAATTCTTTGAATGAACTATATTTCAAGATTGGGAAGAGATTGTTAAAGTAATAAGAGATTTTTAACTATGGAATTTTGATGTGATCACGGACGAAAACAATTCATGTGACAAGTGGGAATTCTATATAGGGGAATATTTTTATAATCCGAACACTTGTACATGTGTGATGACAAGAGGCTATAAGTAATCACACAGTCACATGCCTCAAGAGCACATTAAAAAATGCCCCCCCAAATAGAGATTGCCCATAAAGAGCCTCGCCAAGTTCACATCAAGAATGAAAATAATTCTAAGTATGCTTCATTTCCTAGACAGAATTATCCCAAATAGGAAAGTAAAGTCACCCTTAGATATCTTTCTAAATGGGATCGTCCATAAAGAAAGCCCAAAATAAATTAAGGAAGTGGGCTAGAGGTTCAAGCAAAAACCTATGGGCTTGGAGATTTGTCTTGGTCCAAGTCAAGGGAAAACTAATGCCTCATGGCCAATGAAAGCCTCGACCCAAGGAGATCGTGCCAAAGGAAAAAGGGTTAAGCCATATCATGACCTTGGAAGCTTATTGAGCACGCACGCAATGGCACACATGTGTAGGATGAACAACCCATATCTATGAACCACCCGCATGCGTGAAAGCAGTTTAAGCTTGCGAGAGATGCTGCGCTACTCACTGGGAACATTTACTTGTGCATGATAAGTGATCCACACACGCGACTAGCCACACGCATGAGGAGCCACACATACGCGCAGACCGAGCGCATGCGGGAAACCTTGTCCGTACGGGTGAGGCATGGTGATAAGGGGAATTGGAGTTTGAAAGGGAATCCTCTCACTTTACCTTTTCCCTATGTGTTTTCTATGCTAAAAATCAAGAGAACTTTTACACAAATTTGAAATCTAAAAGATGATAAAATCATATAGAGGTTTAGTTAAGAGAGAAAGAGTCCTCCTCAAATAATTATTTTAATTATTTTATTTGAGTTTAGATTAGAATTAGAATATTTTAATATTTAATTTGCTTTTTTCCTAATCTAATTAAGTTTAAGAGTTGAAGTAGAAATATGTAATCTTACTTCTAATCCTACTAATCAATAAAAACCTATATAAAGGTTTTTTCATTAAGTTTGTAATCACAACTTCAATTTTGATATTAATAAAATTTTTGATTCATTTTTAAGTTAGTTTTTGCTAATATTGAGAGTATTCTTCAAGCATCTTCAAGTAAGGGAGCTTTAAACCACCTTGTTGAGTCAATGAGTTAAAATCAATTTATCAGGTAAGTCGTGATATATTTTCTATTCCTTTAATTTTTCTTAGTTACCTTATTTTGCATTTAATTTTTTGATTGGCATTCAAGTAGGGAGGATTAATTAGATGGTTAAGTTTCTGATTGCAATGTTGTGTGAGATTTTAGGAGTCAAAATAATCCTTCCAAGTCTCTCTTGCATCAAATTTATTATGAAAGAAATATTGAAGTTAAATTGATGAGGTTCACTATCAGTGATTAGGAAAGTTATATGGATGACATGAAAAACACTTTAGGTCATGCTTTTAACCTTAGATTAGGTATGACAAGCTAAAATTCAAAGAAATAAGAAACAATGACAAAATCTACAGTAGGAATAGAGTACATGGTTGCAAAAGTGTAGTGAATTAAGCCATCTAGCTTCAAAAGGTGCTTAATGGTGTTTATTAGAAGTAAAATGACGCTAAAATCATGTTTTACGACAACCAATCAATTGTGGCCTATTGCTAAAAATGTTGTGTTTCATGGCAAGATCAAATACATCAAGATTAAATATCATTTTGTAAAAAAAACAAAGAAAAATAAGAAGTTTGTTTGCAATATTGCAAGTTTGAAGAGCAGTGGGATAATATCCTTACCAAATCACTTCCTAACCATAGGTTTGAAGTCTTAACAAACGTGTTTGGATTGTTAACAAAATTTCTAAGGAGTATTGATAGCTTGACAATTTTTGTTGTGAACCAAAGAAGTTTTATTTTATCTAGGTTTATATTTTATTTTATTTGATTCTTAAATTGTAGAAAGCTTGTGTTAGTGTATTATCTTGTCTTTCATGTGTCTAAGAATACTTAAGAGAGTATCCAAGGTATCTACGCTATATTTACTATGGTAGAATCTGTTATGGACAATTGGTTATGTTCATTTTTAAGGTGATGAATGCAACAAAAAAATCTAGTTTTTGCCTCAATTTTCTTCTCTTCTCCTCTGGTTTTTCTCTCGTTTCCTCACTTGTATTTTTAATAATATAGGTGTTATTTAGTAGATAAAGGGATCTACGAGGAAAATGGAAGAGAGATTGTTAGAGATTTGTTGTGGATCTTCTTATAATATAGTTGGCTTGTGAATCAAGGCAAGAGTTCCCATATCTTAGTAGCTTCCAGTGAGTAATA